TGGGTAAACCTTCCAGAGAACAGGATCAAATGGAATGATTTTATGAAATGGCACAAAATCTTTTCCTGGAGCAGTGATGGACAATGGTCCAGAAATCATAACACTGACTGAATTAATGGCTGGACAGAGAATAGTAGAGAGTAAGTAGAGAGAGCAGGTGATCAAGCTAGATTGTTCTGTGAGCAGAGAGAGACACATTTAAAGTAGGATTTTTCTCACCTTCAGCAGTACAGATATTTATAGCAGACATAGCCACTGTAGGCTTCTCCATGGTTCTATGGTCACTGGGGAGAAAGAGGCAGTTGTAGGGAGCAATTAATCTGCTCTATTTTAAGTGGGTTTTAGGATGAGGTGAATCATGCTCTGCAACCCACTGACAATACTGAATATGTCTCTATTGACTGTAAAAGGAGACTACGATGGGTAAAGAGCAATGTCTGCTTGAAGTCTTGTGAATCCCACCTGGGTCTCCAGTTGTGGCACGTCATGAATTTCGAAGATCAGTGCAATACTGCAAGTCTGAAGTGTGCGTGATGGGAGACTGCTAGTTTCAACTGTGTATGATTAAGCTCATGCTGTGTCATAGAGATATGTAGTTGGCCTGCAGTAGAGAAATACATGAAAGTGTAATAAGAATGGCCTTGCTACTTTTATCCTACTTCTACGTACGGGTACATTTTGCTAAGAGAAGAAAAAGATTTATTACTGCAATATTATCAAACGTATGTAGTAAGAGGAGGAAGGAGCAATGAGGAAAGGTGTTAAGTTGAGAGCCCAGGAAAGGGCATATGTTTTAACAGTTGTACTTCTAGCAGCTGTCACGTTTTTCAGTAACTCCAGCATTTCAGCTTTCAACTCTAGACCAGTTTTCAGCAGTACACTGTAGTCATTCAGTGACTATCAGTGCCTCTAGGACATTTGAGCAGTTTTCTCGGATTTCCTGTAAAATAATAAATAAGCCTGTAAACATACATATCTTCAGTTCCGATGTCAGCCATTCAGGTTTCACTGTTACAATTTTTGATGCATTCTAATTTAGCCTTTTTGTGGAATTACACCTTTGTATTATTTCGTCTGTTTAAGGAGTCTGAAAAAATATCATCCCTTTCTCTGCAGTAGGCACCTGTGAAGTCCTAAAATATTGAGGAAAAACTGAGGGGAAAAATGCGTTCACTGAAAGCATGAATGACTTGTGTTGTTTTGAATATCTGAAACTTTTTCCTACTTTACTTTGTACAAGCTAACTTTGGGATTTGATGCAAATTGTGTTACTCTGGTAGTGTCAAATCTGATTTCAGTGACCGCAACACTAGAACCCTTATTGACTTGGGTGGGAATAGGACTTGAGCCTCTGTATTTCTAAATAATATTTTATGTAAGTGAAGTCTGAATAAGACTTTTGGGATTTTTGTGGAAGAGATACCAACAGAGCTCCAAGGTCCATATTGTTCAGCTGTCCTTTTAGCAAAGCCTTAGTCCAGTCCATATAGTAGTGTGACACACAAATTTAGAAAGGTTTTGCAGATTACTGAACTGTTTGCAGATTACTGTAGTAAATCCACCATTTGATAGGGAGTATATTGAGGAGAAGGGAAAATTCTGTGGAAATGACCAGCTTTTATGGGTGTGCATGCATGCTTTCACAACTCATCTCAGCTGTCACTTGTTATTATTGAAAATGGGGATGGACTAAAGAGATCTGAAGTCACACAAGATGCTAATTATTCTTGTGTACTCCAGGACTTATTTATGCTGGCTAAGGCAGTATATCCATCAAAGCCAAGAGATTTTCATTTTGTCACTATAGTTCAGAGTGCTGGCAGATTAAGAGAGTAGTTTCTTTGTCTTTCTGAATACTTGTATGTCAGGTTGTTGATGTTGTTTATGGCCTAAAATCAACTGGAAAGGAAACATGACCTGAACGTGCTGGGGTAAACATTCTTTTACTCTGCATAAACTCTGATCTTGCATCGTAGAGAGAAGGACTTGATTTTAGTCCAGTACTATAGTTCAGAAAGCACCTAAACACGTTATGTTCCTTTGACTTCAAAGGGTACTAGCTCAGATGTTATCCTTATGTTTTAAATTAGATATGGATGGAAGCCAACACAATCTCAGAGGTATCCTTACTAATGACAAAAGAAAAGTCACAAGTGCCAGGGGGATTACAAGATAAAAAGGTAAAACACTGACCACAGGTAAAACTCATTAGTCAGTTCCTGAAAAATGTGTGAAGTAGCTGTAGGGACAGATACAGTAGAAAGGATGAACCCTGCATGATTATCAGGAAGACAGGAGTGATTATGGAGTTCAAAAGTATTAAGCTCTGGGTCATTAACTAAAATGCACTCATTCAAGGGACAGGGACCAAACAACCGAGAAGTCCGAGCGAATTGTCAGTGGTAACAGAATGTGGGCCACAGCTAAATGAAAGCCACCCCTCACAGTTCCCGGTCCTGGCTCCCCTACTCTAAGACAAGGCTAAAAGAAGGAGCTAGCCCTCTTGGTCTAGGAGACAGAGCTACTGAAGAAACCAAAACAATTAGACCACTTCAAGTCACTGGAGAGAATGAAATGAGAAATGAGAATGAAATGAGAAAATGAAATGGAAAGGTGCAAACTTTCCCTGACACATAGATGTAGAAAGACTGAGTACACAAATGGTGACAGTTTCCACTGACCATAAGGAGAGTATCTTTTGTGAAAAAAGGATGATATTAAATATTTTTCTATTCTATGTACCTCAGCAGAGCTCCGGCAGGTGTTTAAAAAACTTGTTTGCCTGTATTTGTGCCTTGTCAGAACCTCCTTTCAGAGGCATTGTTTCTCTGACTATCGTTTGGTTGTGCTTGGCAGTAGAGTAGTTTCCCTGGAAAACGCTTCAGATTTTGGTTTTAGAGAGATTTATATATGTAACATTTGATTTGAAGGAAAAAAGCATGACACCCGGCAGCGGTGAAAAAGAGCTGACATTACAAGGCTGACTTTCTATCATAATGCAATATGTCTCAGGGAAGAGTTACCTCAAGAAGGTGAACAGGTAAAGCTGATGTCATCATAGACATACCTGCCCTAACAAGCAAGAACTTTCCATGACACGCAGACACAGGAAGACTGAGTACAAAGATTCCTGGGAGTGATGAACTTGTGGAGAAGTTTATGCCTGATCTGTACCAGAATTATCACTCCAAGATTGCAGCTGTGAGTAGACTGAGAGTAAAGGTTACAGTTTCACAGTATTAAGCCAGCAAGGGCTCATTCATTGAAATAAATACAAATATTTATAGTCTAGATTCTGCAGCTGGATTAGCAATTTCAGGCTCTCCTGGGAAGAAATAAGCTTTTTTAGGGTGGAATTCCTCTGACCGGTTTAGGTTCTGCTTTTGAAATACAGAAATTTAAGCATTAGTCAGCAGTGCACCTAGCTCTCACCACGTGCTGTGCTACATTAGGAAGACCGTAACTAGTAGATCAGGGGAGGTAATTATGCACCTCTGTTTGGCACTTGTGAGACTGGATCTCAGTGGATTATTATTTCCAGTTTGGGGCTCTTTGGTACAGGAAGAACACTGATTTGGGTGATGATAAGTCCTGCAAAGGTCATCCACATGGCAATAGAGTCTCTGACATATGAGGATCAGCTAGGAGCTGGGTTTGTTCCGCTTGGAGAAGAGTGAGGATCTAATTGCTGTCTTCATCTATCTCACGGACTTAGAGAAGAGGTGAAGCCAGACTCTTCTTGTAGGTGTGCAAAAAAAACCCCAAGAAGCAATGGAAACAATCTGCAACCAGGGAAATCCTAGTTAAACGTGAGGTAAAATTCTTCACAGAGTGGTCAAACGCTGGAGCAGGTTGCCCAGACAGGTTATATCTCCATCTTTGGAGATTTTCAGAATTTGACTGGAAAAGGTGTTGACCATCCTGATTCAACTTTGAAGTTAGCCTGGCTTTGAGCAGGGACCACCAAAGGTCCCTTCCAACCTCAGTTATTCTGTGATTTTATGACATGTATCTTAGGTTGCACAAATTATATTTACTGAATCATCACTAACAATAATAAGAGCCCGGAGGGGACTAGTGTAGTGCAGATGTGTGCATTTAGTGAGGTAACATGGACATACCGGATGCTGGGGAACGCTTGGAGTTTGTGATGAAGCACCAAAACAAGGGTTCCCCCTGTCGCCTAACAAGAGCAAAGCATCTTTCTTCAGATTCTTTCCACCTTCTGGCCTTAGCAGATCGTATTTGTAGTACATAGAGTAGTAGGTGGTAGTGGCTGCATGCAGGAGAGGACTGAACTTAGAATGGAAACTTATTTAGGTGTGTGGAACATTGTCGTATGCACCCTGTTAGCTGAAATGAGTACAAGTGGGCATGTAAGGTACCGAACCAGAATGATTCGGTTATATAGCGCTTTGGACAGAAATATTGGCACAGCATACAAGGCGGTGGAGGATAAACAAATAGGGTATGCTTGATCCAAGCGCCCACAGCAGACTATAGGAACATTTATGTTCATTTCACAAGACACTGCATTAGAGCCATATATTATATAGAGAGCAGCATGGGCAAAACCTTGAGCAGTAGTTAGAATCAAACTTGCCTATAAGGTTATTCCTGTCATGGAGTTGCTACTAATCCATTCTAATACTCAGAAGTTGCTCATAAACGTTTGTTATCTTTGTTATCTAAAAATGAATTCCTTAACATGGTCCATGGCATGGCTTTAATAAGACATTTTGCAAACGAATGTATTACCTGACTTAAAAATTTAAGTTGGTTAATCAGCAGACTCTTATGATTCCTTTAACATTTTCCTGTTACGGTAGCTTAGAACCTTGTTTTCATAGAAAATACCATCTTTGCAACTTTCTGGAAAGAGTCTGATCTTTCTTGAACCATTCATCCGAAGCTTCCACCAAGCCTTTGTAAGGTAAGTACAGTAAAGTGGTCAAGACCAAACCGAACTTTCAAGTCTGTTACTGCTGTTTTTGTTTTAGGATGTGTTGGAGTTTGGGATAACATCACCTGTTGGCGTCCTGCTAAGATTGGAGAGACTGTCACTGTCCCTTGTCCAAAAGTATTTAGCCTTTTCTCTGGCAAACCAGGTATTTTATTTTAAGTCGTATTTTTGCTGGCTTTTTTAATGTATGCGAAGTATCCTATTTTGTAAAAAAGTTGATATAAGTTGAAACCATTTCAGCAGGGCTTTTTCTCTTCTGTATTTGCTAATATAATAGTTGAAAGTGTGTATTTGCAGTTTAAGATTTGTATTTTATTTTTAAATAGTTAAATCAGTAGATTATCAATTGAGCTATTCATGATACATCATGGAAAGGCCAAATAATTGTCCTTGTGGTCTATACGGTATTTTTTGGTTCAGATACTAGATATATATTCTGATATAGTAACACTAACCAATGCTGAAGAGGGTTTGCTCTTTTTGATCTTTTTCACATTAATTCTGAAGGCAACTCAGTCTGACTGCCATCCTTAACAGTGGCCAGTGGGAAACGTGCAGTTTGTGCCTTTTGTGCCTGGGAGGAGAGCTCTGCCTCGCTTTTGTGAGAGAATTGAGCCAACATTAATGTGAAATATATAAATATTGTCACTATTGCAATTTAAGGGTATTATCATGAAACCTTTTATGCGACCTGAAAGGAGCCCCCCAGTGTCTCAAGTAGCTGGGAGACCTGTTTTAGTCCACCATCTTCTGCATCGTCTCATCAGTATATCATACAGTAGTTTGCTTTTGTCCTTTGCCTTGTTAGTGGGGTAGCAGGAACATTTTTTTCCCCAGTCTTCAGATGAGAAACCTTTGTCATGAAAAGCTGGTAAAATTTACACAAGACGCAAATTAAGTGAGAGAACCCAGCTTTCTAAGCTCTCAAGTTTGGTACCCTCGCCACTGGTCTGAGCTAGCTGTACACCTGCATGATAAAAGCAGAATGTAGATGCTGTAGTCAGCTTTTGAAAAGGCCTCTCTCTTAAACAGAAGGAAGCCTCTGTGCCATAAGTCCAAACTGGAGCTTCTCATAGCATCTCACTGGTAGTGCACTTTGGCTGTCGCTTGCGCTCGCATTGTCTCCTAAGGAATGTACTAGTGAACTGTGAAAGAATCTTTTCTTCTCGCATATTTCAATGAACTTCTCAGAGGAAAATGTGTTCCACATTTCTGAAGCCAGATTCTAATTTCCTTTCATTTTCCTCTTTTGAGGGGAAAAAAATGAGGAAAGCCAAGTTTCGTTCAGTGGGTCGAGGATTAGTGGTAGGTCCCAACTTGCACCTTTGCAGAAACAATATGTAAATTTCTTAGAAACAAGCAATTCCTCTCACTGTACTTGCATTTCTAGACCGAGGTAGTATCCTTAGACAAACATGAAGAACAGCATTGTGTTTTCTGAAATGTAGAAGTTTCAAGACCCACTTCTGGGTCAGATCCATCATGCAGACTGACTCTGTCAGCAGACATGCATGAAATCGTTCCATAAAGGTCGTATAAATATTTTATCCATCACTGAAATGCCACCTGCTCTGAAGTGGCGCATGGTGTGGAATAACAGTTCAGAACAACGCTCTACATAGTAATATCAATCACTGAAGAATACCATATACAGTTAATGCCTGAGCCTCATTTAAAGCTATGAGTGTAATTTGCAAGACATGAGATCGACTAAGAATCTAAAATAGTTCTAAAATAGTTTTGTAGAGTTCTTCTGTTCTCCAGCTGAGAAACAGGGCTCCATAAGGTTTCAAGAGTTGTTCAAAAATACCAGTGTTCTCAGAAAATCTCTGGAATTCTGTTATCTCAAGAAGTTAAAATGAGTAAACAGGATTTAAGGTCTTTATATAAATGTACAAGATTAGCAGTATGAATAATTTAGATGCTTCTTGTCGGAAAAATCTGAACTTCTTTTGTCTTTTTGGCCCGTGTCACATTTGAGTATTAAAAAATCCTGCCATCCAGCACTGGAGTGAAAATACAAAACCAGGGCATTTTACACTTTTTAATGGAAAATGAGAAGAGCAAACAATCGAACAACTGCATAACTCAACAGAGTTATAAAAGTTGCAGCATGCCTGTACTCTCTTGACTGGAAAGGGATGCTCCAGGTGTTTGGTCACAGACAAATTTTATCTTAGAGCATTAAAACTCTTCTTCTAGAGATGCAAGAACTCATCAGGAAGCCATTTGGCAAGATATGCATGTCCACATCTGATGTGAGCTAGCTGCCTAGATTCCCCTTATGGTCAGATGAGTGTGGGATATGATTCACTTCACTCTTTAGACATCTGAGATAGGCTAGATGATTTGTTGCCTCAAATGCACATTTTCATAGGAGTCTGAAGTGACTAACTCATTTGTAATTGTCCATAAAAAGCTAAGTGAGGATCCCACTCTTGAAGCGTATTTAGGTCATGATTCCGTTATTTTCAGTTACGTATGTTCTTATGCCATGGTGAAGGGTGCAAAATCTATCACAGGGATTTAATGCTCTGTTTGAGGTCTCCGTGGAGAGCTGTAGAACAAAGTGGCATTTAAGAGGGAGCCTCACTTGCGATATGACTAAAATATCTTTAGTTTCAAAACTGCTGGTTAGGTCTTGTTTCAGTATAAAACAGATATCTAAACCAGTCTATAGATGAGGAAAGGTTTTCATTCTCTGGGCTGGTGAATCTTGATTAGTTTATCATGGATAGTCTAAACAGTTTATAAAGGGGAAAGTGTGTGTAATCTTCGTGAAATCTTGTGAAATCTTTAAAGGTGTTCGAATTACTCAAAAGAAGATATTTAAACTGTTGTCGTAAGACAAGACAGACCAATAAATATAAAAAGTTGTAAATATGAATTAAATCTTACTACTTCTATCTCTTTACAAAAAGCTAGAGTATTCATGCTCTGTACAATTTGCACACTTGATATTTAGCAACTGCTAGTATCTTATATTCAATAACATTTTAATTCTTCTATAAAGCAACTAGAATAAAAATTTAAGTCTAAAGCCTTCACAATGCCTTACAGCTCTATCTTACCAGCATGTATTAAAATCTTGGGGATGGCATCATCAGAACTGAAATATCACTTCCTATTGACAGTTTGCTATAATTTGTTTTGTATGCAGGCTTTTTCTTTAGCTGCCTGTTTACTGCTTGCTTGTGGAACTAACAAGGTGAGTTTTTTTAGAGGTGCTGTATACCTGGAAATGGAATAGAGCTAGTGAGGGAAGGAGAAAGAATTGTGTCTTCAATTAAGAGGATTTTTATAATCTTGTCTTCCTATAATTTTGGAGATTTAATGAAGCATCTTAGAACATTTATAATTTATTTTCGCTCAGGAATATATCATTTATTTAATTCTATGCAGAATATTTCATATTTGCTTGATTCTTATGGCAGGAAATTATCAAAATATCTTCAAACAAGAACTCTAATTTCTTCTTTAACTTAGCCAGATTTCTGACATGTACTTCTAATTTTTTCAGGATTTAGGAGGAATTTAAATTCTACTACCAAGAGCATGTAGACTACCTTATTTTCCCTGGAAGTCTTCTAAATCTCAAGTAGACTTTTTAAATACCATCAATTCTTAAAAGGATTTCTTATTTTAAATGGTGGATTAAAAAGTAGTTGTCCTCCCATCCTTACAACTTCTGGAGAACTGTCTCTTATTTTCTTCTGTGGTTGTCAAAGTTATAATTTAAGCGTACCACATAATTAATTCTCCATTGAATATTAATAATTCTATATTAAATGGCTTCTTATCATAAAAGCAATCAAATTATTATATAATGTTTCTGTATAATATATGACCATGTAAGTATATGGATATCAGGAAGTTATTCTGTGAAGTTTCATATTTAAATATACATGTCAAATTCAATTAGAGATTTTAAAAGAGGGTGACGTTTCAAATATTTAATTGTATAGAAAGATGCTGTAGAAATATTCATTGTCTTCCATAGAATATTGTCTAACTGTCTTTAAGTTAGAAGGCTTAGAACTGTCTTAAGTTAGAAGTCAGAAGTATAATACTTACAGAAGAAAGCACTTTAGCATTTTGAGTCTCTTTCTTGCAAAAACTGGCTTTGACGTAGTTTGTGGTTCTGATAACACATTCCCCTGCTAAATCAGAGAATCTTGACGTACTTTTAAAGCGAAGACTCTTTAGAATATATAAATAGCTTACATTTTCTTTAAAAAACATCATGTCTATATCAAGCTGCAGAAGTGGTCCTGTTGTCTGAGGAGACATTGTGGTTTGAGGTCAAGGTCTAGTTATAAGCCAGGACCGTTTGGTCATTTGTCAGTCAACCCTTTGTAGGATATTTACAACATTCAACTGAAGACTTTATACAAAGAACATATTCCAGTAACCAATGAGCAAGATAAAAATCACAAAGGTTTTAGTTTAGAGTGTGTATAAACACATTGGGTTATTCTTGGCCAGAGGTGATCTGTGACACGTAAAAGTTGTTCTTGGGTGACAGAAAGCAGATATCTTTAAATTAGATGAATAGCAGTGGTAAACTCCAAACCATAGCAGTATGTTATTATATAATTCAAGCATCATGGACATAAAAATTAGTGTAAGAAAGGCGATGGGAAGTTGCTAATGATCTAACGTTTTAAGAATGTTATAATAATTTTAAGAACTATTTTTTTTCCTGACATCAAACTCTTCCTTTTTTTCCTACTGATGTTTTTCCCTGTTGTATGCATGTTAGTACTTATTCACTGTAGCAAGGAGTAGAATCATCGATTGCCACCATCTCATCGGAGTGACCTCGCCTGAGAAAACAGTCAACTTCTTTTCTTAATTCCAACAGAAAATACTTTCTGGAGTCAACAAAATGTTCAAAATTCCTTTCCAGTGTACTTGCACACTTCTTGTACTTGCCATTGACCAAATTGTTTCAGAGACTGGTTCAAAGGGTGAAATTCAGCATGCATATTTACATACCCCAATTAAGGTGTTGGAGTACCTAAGTTCGTCATGGGCGGGGTGATTCAAAGCAATAGAGCAAAGGCAGTCTCCGTGGAAAACGTCCAAAAAGCCATGATGCTAATCACAGTGTCGCCTAGATTAAGATGTGTGAGACACAGGAATTGTACGTTTCCACCTCTTGCCAGAGCTTAGGCACTGAATCAGGGCCATCCATTATAAATTTAGGTTCCAAAGCCCAGAGTCCGGTTTAGAGTCTAGATGTCTAGCGGGCACAGTTTCTTTAAAGAGCTGCCAAAATGAAAGATCTGTCACTTTCTTACACCATTTAACCATAAAGTTGAAGAACGGGTTTCTAGGCTCTGTTCAGATGGAGGCATTTCCAACCTGCGTGTTAAGAAAACTGCCCTGCACAACACACTGACTCGCGCTAAACTAGCTCACCAGCTTCTGAGGAGGACTTGATAAATGATAACACCCTTCACCTTCCTTTGAGGCTCTAGAGACAAAAATGCAAGAGCTAGCAGCCCAGGAGCAAAACAAGCTCAAAAAAACGTGATTAAGGGCATTCAGCTGTGTGGGGCACACCTGTCCTTTTTTCAAATGGTAGTTTGCACCGCAGACGGAGATCCTTCCAGTTTTCATTGTTCTTCAACCTATCGCATAATTTGGCCTTTAAAATACCTAACCAACTATATCAACATTTGTTGTAGCATTAATTTATCATCATAGTATCTTAGAGCTTTAATAACTCTTGAGCAGATCATTTGGTATTGCCAAATAGTTTAGAACAACTCTCAGTTACAATACTTTTCTGTCAAACTACCTCAGCTACAAATTAACCTCTTAATAGAGTTAGCTAAAAGACTCCCTCCAGAGTAATTCAGATAAAACTGTAAATTTTTTCTGACTTTTTCAGATATAACAGAAATAGCTGTTATACGAAAGCCGAAGCCTGCCATTACAGCTTTGAATTGCGTTTGTTTGGTTTTCTTTTAGTGCAAACACCGCTCAGAGCTTGGAGTAAAAGCCAAAGTAATATGAATGAAGTGCACGTGAAGGGAAATAGCTGAGTTGCTTTAGCAGGACTGCTGGGAAATACAGCATCTTAACAGCATGTTTTCAGAGGATGACTAAGTTAGTTTGGCTGAAGATTCATTGCTGATGAGACTGGAAAATCTTTTTGAATTAAATTCTAAAATATTGCTTTACAGGAAATATTAGCAAAAACTGTACAAGTAATGGATGGTCAGACATTTTTCCTGACATCCTAAGCACCTGCGGATATAACGACTATGAGGATGACTATAAGGTAGGAAAAACAATTTTCTATTCATTTAGATGCTGGTGTTCGAAAGAGCCATGAGACGCTCTGCTTCCAAATAATGCACATCTCATTCCGTCAAAATTAATGGAAGTCTGTAGACCTTTGTGATACTATTAATTCCCATATTCTTGGATTGCAAACCTCATATAAGATAAAAGCAGAAATGTGGAGTTCAGAAACTGTTCAAAACCGATGGCTGTAAATAGTTGGTAATTGCAGTAATGCATGTACATACAGCAATGATACTGGGCTTGTGCAGAATATTTTGTGCATTGTGCTGTTTCTAGAAGTTTCTGTTATAACACATCCTGATATCGTACTACTCCGTTACTACACGCACTGCTTGTTTGCTGCTATGTGTCTGAGTTATCATAAGCAAAATTAAATTAATTTAGATCATTGGAATTATTGCAGATTTATAGTGGACTTCAAATTGTGTTAGCAATTAAAAATTGTTTTAAAAGCTCTCAAGATACAAATATAATAAAAGTGGAAAAATGAATTTGTTTAATTTGTGCAAACTATTTCCTGTCCTTTTTGTTGAGGGAAGCACCTTTTCCATGATGCGTTTTACCTCTTTTATTCTGAGGCTAACAGAGCAAGAATCTATTTGTGAATGTGAGTTCACAATGTCAGTGAAACTCTCATTATTGTGAACAGATGAAGTCCTCCCATGAGTAAAGATATTTGGCCAGTTGGGCTTTTCCTGAATTGTGGTACATGTGGAGTAGCTCTAGCAGAACGGTGCTGGCTGGCTTGCAGAGACGTGGTAACTGAGACGTGCCGTTCTTGCTGTCTCCCTCTAAAAGCTTTTCTCAACCGTGTTAGCCTACCTGCTGTTTGTTAAAGATGTGTTTTAGTTCTGAGCTGTGACGGAGACCTCTCTGTTAAGCACCGTTCAAGAACCAGAGAGGAACTCAGCAGGATTAATCAGGAGCTAAAACATATATCCTAGTGATAAGAAGCCGATTTGCAAAAGAATATGGTAGATATTGGTAAAAACCAATAGTAACAGGTCCTGATCTTTCAGCAGGCTTTTTCCAAGTTATGCAACACAGTTAGTTTTTAATGCAGAGCAACTGTAAGTGTGTAAATGACTAAGTGTGAAAAATATTGGTCTCCCTCAGAACAATTTTGTAGTTACTGAAAGAGAACAACTCTCTGTATGTGTTTAAGTTTGTTTGGGAATGTATTATAGTAAAACAGAGTTTGTTTGGAAAATTATAATTGGTACAATTGTGCTTAGTCTCATTTAGGATTATCAAAAGTTAATGATTACAGTAGCAGTTACAAATTTTGTAATATTGTTTAGCTGCGGTCAGCTTATTTGTAAATATTTCAGGAAGACCTTGATCATAAATTGCCTTTTTTATACATTTAGGAGCCCAGTCATTACGGTACTTGAAAAATGATGATAAAGAAAAGGGTTAGACTGTTCTGTTTTCCCATCCTTTGTGCAGACGCTTTCCAAAACATTGGTATGATCTGGCTGCTTGAGAACACGAGAACAGCACTGTAGAAGAGAGCCCTTTTAACGCACCCTCATTCTACCCGGGCATTGTCACACGGAGTGAAAGCGGGCCAAGTCTTAAAAAGGCAAATTAACAAATTATAATATTTCAGGTAGTACCTCACAGATGATGGAACTGGTATAATAGAAAAGCTGTTCTTATTTTATATATTCATCAATAATTTGGAGGAGGAGAACGAAATGCAAGTTGATTATATTTGCAGTAACAGCAGGAACGAAACCAGAGATACTGGAAACGGGAAGTAGCAATGAGATTTGAATTAGCCTGAAAAGCAGCAAATAATAAAACAGCTAGGATAAAAATTAGAAGACAGATGTGGAAAGCGGGTATTGAAATAATGATATTTAACAAATATGCAAAGCAGAAAGATAGACAGAATGTGTAGATATCTAACATAGATAGACCATGGTGTAAATGCGTAACGTATTGCAGGGAGGGGGAGTGGAAATGCAGGCATTGACTGCAATTCAGGCAAGATAATATGAGGGCCTTATCCTTTTCTAGAGTACCGGTGTTACTGCTCGGAGAATATTCTTTGTCTGAAGATCGTAAACGGATTGTTTCACTGAGCATAGCAATAAATTTTTCTGACTTTAAAGTTGACAAGTCAAAAAGAAAATTCAGTACAATAGTGCTGGCTTTTCAGAAGAGAATTGCTCCTGTGAAAATACTATATTTAAATAAGAGTATTTTTTTACTTTCTATTTTTTGTAGTTAAAGTAAGATTGAAATTATCAGAATCAAATCTGGAAGGGAAATCGGGATAGCATCGACTATCCACCTCTTCATTGGGAAGAATAAAAAAAGTGCAGGTATTATTCTGCTGTGAGACTTCAGGAGGTATTTGAAGTTCTGCATCAGCCAAGTGATCAGAGAAGAAAGATATTTTCTTGAATTTTCTTGAATAAATCAGCATAGTTCAATTTTATTTTACCTAGAATTTCAACAAAAAGAGTTTAAAATGAAATCCTAAGGTACTTGGATACAAAATATTTTTGGACAGAAAAATGAGGTGTGACAATATGCTTTGAGGACGATGTATAAAGTTTTCCTGGAGGCTATAAAACTTAAGGAGATAATATTCTACGGCAGATTGCAAAACACTTTTCTCATGGTAGGTCTTAAATTTTCTTCTGTGTGCTTTTTTTCTAAAGGCAATGTTTAAGGAGTAGGTAGAAATTGTCTTTAGTGTCAGTTTGGTGCCTGTATCTTCACTGCTGAATGAGTTTACATCATAGATCCAGTCAACTATTTATTCCTGTTTCTTTGCTATCTTTTAAGATATGGACTTTTAACATACGTATATAGGTACATATATATATATATGTAAAAGGTATAAATGTGTGTATATATATAAAAATACACACATATATCTATGTACACACAGACGTATCTATTTTGAGCAGTTTTGAATATTCTAGAGAAGGTTTAAATGATAGAAAGAAATTGTTGAGTAATTAATTAGTAGATACCAAATTTTTAGGCTGATAATGATCTGAAAAAAGAAAGTTTATTTAAAGATACTGTAAGCAGGTCATCCATTGTTTCTCTGTAAAGTTCACTGATATCGTAAAGGTATCAATAAACTTATCTGCTTCTACAGTTTGCACTGATTTTACGCAGAGTTAAAACATCATATATTTATTCTATGTCTAATGGTGTAACTAACAGCTTCTATAAAAGGAAACTATGGGTTTCACATTTTAAATTAAATGTAAGTTTCTGATATAGCATCCTTAAATGGAATGTTTTTGTGTTGTATTAAATCTTCCATGAGTATTCCCTAGCGCTTCTGTTTGCTATTGTAGGGGACCACTTGGCACATCTGACAGTGGCCGAATAAACTTTTTTCCTTGCTGTGAGAGGTGTTAGCACAGCCTCCTGAACAACGTGTAGGTCTGTGGCTTTCACAGCCAGCGCATGGTGAAAATGGGTATGACTACAGGACTGGAGTTTAAGTTGGCGTAAACAAACTCTGCATGTTTGTTATATCTTTGTTATATACTTCCAACCTCTTTCCTGTAAGTAAATGAGTTACCACTAACCTTCAAAAGCTTCACAGATTAAGTTTTAGATGTCATCCCAGCCGCTCAGATGAGTGTCTTTTTCTTTCCCTTTAACATTTCTGTTGAGCTCGTGCAGCGTAATGGCAAAATGAGTAACTGGATTTGACCATGCTAGAAAAACACGTCAAGATGTGTTAACTAAGCTAAACCTCATTGCAACCTTTTCTTTCATGTGGACATATTTTGACATCTTTTATCTAGACTGAACAGGCTAAAGATGAGTCATAGCTGACCTCAGAGTCTCTATTCTCAGACTCTCTGTCAGTTATTACCAATATATGCAAGATGCCTGGTGAATGTAAAGGACTGAATTGTGTCCATTTTATTTAAAATAATATCTGAGTCCGTTGATACAGCATTGTCTAATCTTAGCATGGATTAGACCCAGGTTTATTAGATCATTCAAAAAACCCAATAAGTATGAGTTATAGGCTATGTGATGTGGATACACAGGGTCATACAAAGACAAATTAATGGCGAAAAAGATCCTCAGGGCTACTAAGGACATGGTAATATCAATGCAACTTGTGCGCAAGTGGACGCATCATCTATGGAAGAAGTATTTGGCCAGTTTCCCAAAGCATCCACTCTAGGCCACCGTCAGAGAAAACATCCTGGGTGTGCTACTGCACCGCCTACCCAAGACGAGCGTAGTCAAGTCAGTCAGGTCAGGACTGGCTCAGGCAAACACTCTCTTGAATATCTGTAACTAAATAGATGCATTACTTCTATCTGTGAAGTAGATTGTTGTGCTGGACTAATGGATTGTTTGTCCCGAGTCTAAACTGGATCTTTCCTTCTCAAGAAAATGTAACGCAGGGCTGCCATCTACCAATGCTTGCTTTCTTTGGGTGTCTGTGAGTCGTGCTGTATTTATTTACATTACATTCTGCATTTTTGGTCATTACTTTTTCCACGAGATGTGATTAAGAGACCAGTATTCCATAAAATAAATACAAAATCTTCTTCCATTGACTTCAAGTGAGAAGGGCTGAGGCTGAATATAAGCTGTTATTCTCTCCTGTGAAGCGAAGTGGGAATTTAATTTACAAATTGCAGACTGTCCACAGACACTGCATGTTATCTGCACACACTGAGAATGTTCATATGTGAAGATGTGCTTATACTTGTGCATACTTAGGTAGCAAAGCATGGAAGCTTCTGCATTTATAAGGTTATTATCTCTCCTGCTATGGTTAAGCAACTTTGAATAAGAAGAACTTCTTATTACTATAATTAAATTAATGATGCTACCATTATTAAAAGATACTATCTTTAAGACATTAATGGTCTCTTGGGTCTAGTGGTTCCTTTATTTCAAGGAACTTAACACTGATCTTCTCAGGATGATGTTTAGGCTTAAAGTGAGTTGAAGGAGAACCTTGTC